AAAACTATTCCATTGCTCTGAAAATATGCTCGAATCTAATTTGCTCGCCGTAGGAAAGAAGTGCGAGATAAATTGGTTGTTCGTTGAACGATAGCAAATGAAGGGCAACGACTTTTAGCTCGGCACTTCCAATATCTAATAACTGCCATATTAATGGTGTGAAACTGGGATCGGGTTGGTATTCTTGGGATATGGGGATTATCCTTGACACTAAATTCAATCTTCATGTAAGGCTAAGGAGTTTATCGATGGTTACTTCACAGAAAGCTTATACGTGTCTCTAGTTAGGATTATCGTTTAGTTTTTTGGTGTCCGAGCTACCGCTGTTATGTGCGATTGGTGGAAACAATTTCCCTTCGTAATCTAGGATGGGATGCACACAGAACACTCCCCATGTCTGAGAATAGACTTCTTGTATCTCTTAAGAGATAATATGAGTGTTTAGTCACGTAGTTTTAGTGCTGCTTCTATTCTTTCTCTTCTGTTTTTATACCACTGTAGGTCCAGCATCTAGCATTTTAATCTTGTATGATATCACGTAGTTATGTAGCTATTGTTGTGCATATACTATATATGTAGTATATATAAGACATATAATACATTATACACACACATACACACGTACACATATACACATACATTATTATATATTTTGGCTATGTAGCTGCTAGTAGCTAAACAAATAAATAAATAAAATAAAAATTAACAATCACGTGATAGATAGTTTATGTTTGCGAAGCACACTGCTTACAGTACTATGATTTACGGGCCTGTTCATAAGAAAAGCCTATTCTGTATTCTGTTACAATGTTTTGAAACATATAAGAAATCTTTCTTACATTTACAATGGAATTCTGGGATCCACAGCTTACATGTAAGCATTTATGCAAGTCCGTAAGACGCAATGTCGGGTTTATCTATAGACCCTTGCTTATTTCTCAGATAAAGATAATTTCAGCAACATAAGATCGACGGATTGACGATAGCACCGGCATAGCTATGCCGGGAAGCGAACCTGATGCCCATCCAAAGTATATACATGGAACTTCTGAACATTTGATAAGACAAGAGGAAATGAGCTTATATACAGCCTCAGTGATAATAAAGAAAACAATTCGTTTCAACATAACTTGTCGTATCTCGCCTGCTTGATAGCTACCTAAGTACATTTCCGGCTGGCATTCTGTCGTCGAGGCATGTTCTTTTTGGTTTAGAACGAATCTTGAATGGCTAAATTATTCTTTTTCTTCAATTTTACAGAACATTAGCTTTCCTCAAAAAATATGACTGCACGGACAAATAAGGCCACATTAAACCACCGTTGTTGCCATTTTTAATACTTAATAAATATTACAGTGATGTTATTAAATTTATTGCTTTTATATTTCCTATTATATTATCATAGGTTTTTATAACATATGAGAAATCTTGAGGGTTCGGCTAAGTCAACACAGTTTCAGGAGTCATAACAAGCTTAATTGCCTGCAATATCTCTAAGAAAATATGATACAAACGGATGAATTTTTGTTAACTTAGCTGGAGGTTATTGGTGGCACACGAATGTTTCAAAAATTCCCGAAAAATTTAAAGTCAGCTTTTTATTGATTAGTGACCGTTTTACAACTTCTAACCTTAACGAACATACTGTAACCTCTGTTGCTAATACTACTAACCAAAACTAATTAGGTAATAACAACGTGCAAAGTAGTAGAGTAAAGATAACAAGAGATTTTTTAGCTTGTTACTATCTGCAGGTATTGGTCAAATTTTCTTTGGCATCTTACTATGTATAGGTATAAATTAAGTTTCCTTATACTTCCTTGGAAGAAACAATCAGTTTGGAGTCAATTTTTAAAGAAAATAAACATGTTCGAGGAATCGGTTAGCTTCAAATATACTTGTAATTATTAAACGGCCAATCACTTGAATATAAGAAAATTCAAATTTATCGCGTATTGCTCCCTTTGTATAGCAAAATCGGGTTACGTTGTGCATTTGTTTAGTAGGCAGGTTGGAAAAAGTGTTTTTCGCAGATGGAAAACAAAACATTTAATAAGCATTCACGATAAAAAATTTCTCATCCTTGAAGTACCTTTCTACTCATCATTAAAGGATGGACATAAAGAAGGTCATTACATACGCTTGCAATTCTCAAAAAGAGCCAGTACAAATCTCATGAATAGAAGCTAATTTTGATTAGAACGAAAAAACTAAATCAATTTTGTCATGCCCGATTGCGCCTTTTTACTCTGTCCATCGCTGCGCCATTTATTCGCACTTAATCGCTCGCGGTAGCAAAAATTAAAATACACCATTGAAATATGTTACATATATTTTCATTGACGATCAGATAACAGATTTGGAGAAAAAACAAAGGAATCGCAACCATGCCCATTATACTTCTATATAAAGGAATTATAGAGTAACCGCACAAACTTACATACTGCGCAAATTATTTGAATCGTTGGATACTAATCAACGCACTTCTGCAAAAAATCGCTAATATCGCATCCCAGCAAGGTTTCTTGAGCCGACTTCAAGATTTCAAAGCGTCCTCTATAGTTAAATGAACAGATCTCGTATACAAAAATTCACTTGATTGTATAAATACCTCAGCAGTCGCTCATAATTTATGTTGTTAAATTTTGACTATTTGTGGAAAATTCGGGCCTCATCTAGTGCTTTTCAGAGGAGCCCTTCTTTTTTTTTTTGTAAACGATACTTCTGTGTGCATTTATCATTTCTGTAAACTAAACTTTCCAGCTCTTGTGACATATTTCACTTGTCTAATCTTGTTAATTTGTGTACGGACTATTCGCTGTGCAGGTCATTTTATTAATAATTTTATTCTGGAAAAATTTGCTAAGATTAAATAATTTAATTGTTGTATTACAGAAAACTCAAGGATGGCATTTATATTGAAGCTTACGTGAACATAGCTTCTCCGGTTTTTGAAAATATGGTCTGGTGAAGTTAACCATCTTCATATATGTGTATATATTTTTTCTTAGATCAACCTTAGAATACTCGACTCGTATCTAGCTCCAAATGAACATACTTCGTCTTTACCAAATCAAAATGAAATTTATTTCTTTGTCTACTCTTAAAGTAAGCTTTGTTAGTGGTGTGAACGTACGTGTAACGTCCTTTAATAGAGATAGTTAAAGGTAATAAAGCATATAAATTTTAATACTCCTAACAGATTTTGTACCTTATTAACATAGTACCTATGATCGTTATTATTTACTCCACTTTTCTATTTCGTCTATATCTGTATTTATATAATTAATGGAATCATATTATAAGAGCAAGTTGCTAAACTTTTGTTGAACCTGTTACGTGAACTTCTTACCTGAGGCAAAAACTGCATGTTGTTAATTTATTACCTGCATTACAACTAAATGAAGCCATCGCTTAAAACATTTTAACAAATTGAATATAAAGGTTCGAGAAGAATGATATAACTTCTCTTTAAGATTAAGCATCTGGCATAAGAAATGTTCTGTGATATACCACTGGAGCAGTTACCCTATAAAATGCCATTTCTGCTCTTGTCTGACTTCCATCTTTTCTCAGATCTTAGAATAACACATGACAAGAACTATTCGTTAGAAGGAAGCACAGGTCGCTTAATTTAATGGGAAGCTTTCACAACTTCTCGGAAGTAAAATAAATGAATTGAAGTGAGCCGAAAAAATGCGTTGAGTTTGTTGGATTATACCGTCGGGATTTTAATGCGTTCCTAATCATTTATTTGTTATACATTTATCCTTTCTCCAAGTTTCAATTACAATGTGCACTCATGTAAAGTATGTATTCAAAAATTAATTATTTGTTGCAAAGATTAGCCTTTTTGCGATTCGTTCCCATTTTTCACTGGAGAAAACAAACTTGTAATGGTTCTTTTTTAGAGCGGAAATGAGTGGATGCTTTCCTCGACGGGATATAAAACTCTATTCCTCTAAAGGTGTCTTGAAGGCTTGTTCATTCGGATCACTGCCAGCTGTAACCACCAGTTTGCTCCCAAATATAAAATACACAAAGAATTTCGAACTTAACTCACGGAGTACAATGAAATCCTTCATAGATTTAATAAATTTTCGATGGTAAAATATTAAAGTCTTTAGATGAACATTTTCTTATAAATTTTCATATCAATTGCAGTTCTTATCCTAACTGCCGCACTGTTCCTTAATAATATTAACGCGCAAAATGATGCAAAATAAAACTGTGTTACTACTGTTGCCACTATTTTTTAAGTGGAAACAGTCATATGTTACATGTTTATGCATGTGGTTCTATGCTGTCGTAAAATATTATATATACACATGGAAGCATAATGGCCTTGAAGTAAGAAAAGCAAGACACATTAGCATTGCATTAGAAAAAAACCGAAAGAATCTAGGTTATAACTACTTACATATATATATTGGGCTGATGTGTATATACGTATATATATAGAAATATAGAAATAATAGAAATGTACGAGTATTTAGAAATACTTTGAACGAATTTTCGGTACCCTCACCTGTACATAATGCATTAATTATACATGTAAGCAAGCTTTCAGCAGTGGAAGGACGAACGGACGTATTGGTAAGCTGGTTTAGACGTGGAAAAAATCATCAATTATAGCCAAAAATATTAAAGATAGGATTTATTTAGGGTTGGGTAACATTAATTTTCAATATTGATATGAATGAATATTAACCAGCCTAAGAATTCCAACCGCAGGTGGAGAAAAGAATGCCTCTCTTACTGTTCAACTATTTGCGCATACTTGAAGGATTCTTCGATGCTTTATAAGGATCATAACAAAAGCAATAACGAAACTAATATAATCGCATCTTTGAATATTTGGTATTTAAAAAAAAAGAAAAAAAAAAAAACAATAAACGTAATACTTAAAATACTCTTTCAGTTTATATTGCTTTGTTTTTCTTTCTTGTTTTTTTTTTTTTTTTCTTGTGCAATTTTTTACATTTTGGCGATTTACTCACCTTTGAAAGGGCTTTATAGGCGGCTGGGTTTCTGCTTCATATCCAACAATTATTCATTTTTTTTATGAAATAAAATTTTAGTTTTCTACACTACAAAAAGCACAACAGGCACGCACATAAGCACGTATTTGTTAACGTACATACACAACTACATATATATTTGTAAATTTTTTTAAGCCTTGGCACACAAGAGCCTTTGTAAGGGCTTGTTGCAGTGTTTACTTAACAATGGGACTTTTAAGCATCTTTTATTATACGTGTATTGGCTATTGTAGTGCAGTCGTTCTTCTTGTTTTTCGTGTTGTTAAGGGTGATCATTGTTATATGTAAGGCATACGTTCATGATCTCCTTGCACAAAAACGTAAAAAAACATTTTAAAACAATACTACTGGTAATCCTTAACAGCTTTGACTAAAGCTAGATATTTCTTAAAACAAGTTGTTTTTCTCTTTAATAGTATTATAATAATATTAAATGGTAATTAATACAACAATGAAAACTCCTTCGCTTGCTAGGTATCAGATAATTGTATAGTTTTCATAATTTTACAGGTTATTAGTTAAAAGCTGCCTTCTCTAGTAATTTTTCTATTTGTAATAACTGTTGTTATTGTAGTTTTCGACATTTTCCTTTTTTTATATATAATTCATTATTATGTTTTCCCTTAGTTTGTTACGAAAAAAAAAAACAAAAACGTAAATGCTTAATTTTGCGTAAAACTGCTTTGTATTCAATGGCGCACAACGATCCATAATCATAAACGTTAACCCCTTCAGAATTCACCAGCGTTTGTGTACATTTTAATGCTCTAGAGTAAGTACGTAAGGCGTGTAAAATTTCTCCTTTGCATTTTTCATATTTATTTTTATTTTTCGTTTGCTGCTTTCTTTATATTCGCTTAATTGAGAATTAGGTTAAATCACACACCACCAACCTTTACTAAATATGCGTACATATATATATATGTATGTGTATATATTGATATATGTATATAGGCATGTATATATATAAATATATATAAATAACATATATATATAAATATGTACATATACAGCTTTATTTATATATTTATGTGCATATATATTTAAATTTTTTCTTTTCTTAGCAAATTTTGTGCAAATTTTGCTTATTTGACTATTTGGCATAAATTTTTCAATAAGTGAATTTTTCTTATTTTTTTTTTAAATTTTTTACTCTAATATTTTAGTTGCTACGTTTACTAACCGTCGTTTGATATTTATCGTGAAGCATTATGCCAACAACGTTAATGCTCTCGAACTTAACAAAACCACGACCTTTTCAATACTAAAAGAGTTTTCATTCATTTCGCCATCGGTTTCTGCACGAAGTTGGCAGTAAAGCTATCCCTTTTAAATTTGCTCAGACACATACACTTGCACTCTGATAATCACGCATTCATTTTCTGTTGTGCATGCTCATGCATGCACATATTTCGTCATGTTTTTTTGAAACAATATTTCGCATTTCTTTTCATGTTTTTACCATTATTTCCTTAAAAGAGAAAAGCCAAACTTAACGAAATATTCAATTGTAAAGAGATAAGCAAAAAATATTTAAGCAAAGAAAATAGTGCAAAGAATGAAAACATGCCAAATAAAGAGTAAACATTTTACTGAGTCAACACACTGATGGTGGGTGGTTTCTCCATATGAAATAAATTGTAAGAGAAATCCTATTCTTGAAAAGAAAAAGAGCTGAATATAACAAAAGAGATGCATCGAGCAATGACATTTAGAACAACCTAAGTGAATAAATGGAGTCAGAGTTAATTTTGACGTGCTAAAGCTCTAATGATTTAAATGTTTGAGTGACTTTTCTCAGTAAGACTCATGGTATTTTGAAAGTCAACCGAATATGTTTGATTATAATAATCGGTACGTATCCGATTTTATTTCGTTTCATCTTTTTTAACTTCGATTTAAAGTATTTCTAATTTGCTGAATAAACGCACGTAGAGAATAGTCTTTTATCCGCTCCGCTATTAATCATCTAAAAGTCAAAGAAGTTGTTAATCTAAAACCTAACCCAAGGTTTCCCTGTTAACAATTACGAAGCGTATTTTCCTTATATCAAATAATTTGTTGCATTACGTTGAAAATAAAAAATAAAAATAAATGAAAGAAATAAAATATAATTTAAATGTTGGGCAATTGATGTCTTTTTTGAAATTGTTTACAAACCAATGGGAGGTATAGCGAATTCGATTGAAAAACAGATGAAATTGTTTACAAATCAATGGGAGATATAGCGAATTCGAATTTGGTGCTATATGAGAGTAATTAAGTGAACAACTGCGAATTTGAAAGCATATATAGATGTTGTGCACATAAAGGGGCCAAGTCAGTATACAAACTTCATGCGCGATCGCGGCCTTGGGATTATTTTGCCTTTTTCTCTTGCCTTTTACAATTGTAAGGCTTTCATGAGAGATAACAATATTAAGTCAATATCAAGTTAGGCTCGACCAACTTTCTTTTTACTATAAGTAATCTCCTTTCGCACATTCTTCGCTGAACTGTTTGAGAGTTTGTATTGTACTTTCTTTATTTATTTCCGAAGGAGTGGGATATACTCATAACATTTCAACATCCAAAGAAAAGATTCAAAGAGAGCCGATAGCCTGTGTTGCTAGTGCTCAATGTCTCTTTTTTTAGTCTAAGAATTCAATTCATTAGTCTAAAATTAAAATAATAATAATAATAACAATAAGATTCAGAGACGCTATACAGTATGTGTAATGTAGATCAATGTCATGTTGTGAATCGATCTGGCCATGTTTGTCGATCTGTCCGAATCTGTTTTCTACACTCTCCCGATCGCAAACATTGAGATATCGTTTTTAAGTTGGCAGGGTCAGTGGGAGTTTTTACGCTCAGTTCACTATTAAAAGTGGGCTGCATCCGTTTAAGAACATGTCCTTAATTGGAGGCATCCTTGTTTCCCTAGGAAAATACATGTGAGTATTTAGTCATCACTCATATATTATGCAAGATAGCAGGCTGAAATTTTTTAAAATGGAAAAAATCGACTTCGAATTTTATATGCTGGACGACGTTAATTTTTTCTATTAGTGGGGGATCATGATTTTCACGAAGGAAATCTTGAGTATTCGGTTATTAAAATTGTTAATTTATTATTGGTTCCTTATGCCTTCTCTTTCTCAAAAGCCGAAAATTGTGAAATAGCAGTATTTTTCTATCAACTGCTGGTTTTAAACCAAGAGAAACTTAACGAAACTTTATACAAACACCTATTGAGTTTGTGTTTGACAATCAAAAGAGAAAGTGATTAACGCTCTGGTCATTGCTTGTTATTATAATGAGTCCCGAAGAAAAGTGGAATGGAAATAGCATAAGAATTTCTAACATATTCCTTCGCACTCTACAAAATCAACAACCTTAAAACAAAACGAAAAAAACACAATAACCAGAACGCATATTTATAATTTACGCGACCTTATTCAAAATGAAAGCATAGTTTTTCTACGCTCATCTAAAGATACATAAAACGGTAATATGCTTAGTAGTGTGTTAAAAAATAGGTGAATTATATATAAAAATTGTTATATAAAAACGTTCTTGTAAATATTAAGAAGAAAGATGCAGAGAGAAGGAATATTTAGTAAAAAATTGTTCACATACAAATCGAAGGATTCAAACATATTGAAAATAGTACATGAAACCAGCAGTGTTCCGAATTCCTAGAATTTTCCTTGATTGCCTGATAACAACCTAAGTAACAAATGTTTAATAACTTGGGTTTTCTCCAAATATGTTAAATAAATGCAAATATTGTATTCTTCCGATGAATATGTAAATTCGCTCTTCTTTCTATGTCTTTCCTCTTCCTTTTGCATCACTAGACTTTTCTTATATCACCTGAAACACTTCGTCTTTCGGTTTATAAGAAGAGTCAAACTGCTTATGACAACTTCGTGTGACACAAAATTTTGCGGAGAATACATTTGACTTGTAAAATCTATCTCTTTTGAAAACAGAAATATGAAAAACATCTCTCAGGTTTAAATATAACTGTATATCTTGCGCTCTCTTAGTCCCTTACTCTTCCTTTTTTCTCTTTGTTTAGCATATTTTTCATGTTTATATGAGCCATTTTTCTCTTTTTCACTTGGGCAAGAGATTTAAATTGAAAACTATTCATTTGAGCTATAATCGAGTGTGTGTTTTTGCTTTAAAGCTGTCAAAAGCTTTTTAGATAATGTTGTTTAATTAGGTTTCTCCTGATTTCTTCTTTATTGACATATTGCTTTGCACTAATTTTAATGAAACGTCAGATGATCGCAAGAAATTCGCTAGAATCGATGGATGGAATAATTTAGTGCACAATACCGGTATACTTTTAGACTTCTTAATAAATACATATTTTTCTCAAGGGTGTGAAGGTAATTCGAATTTCACTAGCAAAGACACCTACCATCTAACTTAACAGAGCTATGTAAACGCCCTAAAGTAACTCTGTTGAACATTTAAAATTAAGATATTTTTGAACTTGGAAGTCTACTCCTTTTGTATTAAACGACGTAAGATATTTTGATGATACCTCATGAATCTATAAAAAATATCTTTCAAATAAGCTAAAAAGATTCAAATTCTGCTTATAGGAACTATTCTTAACAATTTTTTTTCCGTTATATTTGTGTAACCATAGGGTGATGTACTTGATGTACTAGATCCTCGCTCTAGAGTATTACCAAACTTCGTAAGCATTAAGATCTTAAAATTTGAATTGAAAACTGACGCATTGAACCATATGCTTTTCTTGCAGTTCTCTGTTGTGCTACCAATTATGCTATTTGCATTACTTTAAAAATATACATCGACAAAAGTCTTACCTTTCATTTCACATCGTGTACTGTTTTGCCTTTTATAATGTTTACGCCAGACAAACATGTACAAATATATGAACTTAGTACGCCTATCTATTCTTCTTTAACCATATTAGATTTTCAGTTTTTGCTTTAATCATGATAAATGAATCGTAAACCACGTTTTCAACAGCTCAACGAATGCTTATTTGTGTAATAATGAGAAGAAGAGGCCACATATGTTGAATAGTTACTCATACTTATGTTGGTAGAAGTTAATGAAAAAAAACTAATTCTGTAGAAAAAGCAATTAACTTTTCCTTTTTTTGAAAAGTTATAAACTTAATTAGGTTTTTTTTACTAAGAATTGTGTTTTTAGGAGTATTATTGTGGTTTAATTAAGGTACATAGCGTAGCCAATTGAAAAAAAATGCTAATGAGCTTAACGCAGGTATGAGTCTCATTAAAACCGTTAAATTAGGTGACCTTTGAATAATTATTAAAATTTTTCTGTTTTTTCATAATTACTTTTTCAATTTATCCCTTAATTCAGTTACTTAAAAATTTAAACAACATATCTCCTGACAAGCAAATGATTTTAATATCGATAAGCGCTTTACACGTTTCAAATTGTAAAAGCAGCCCAAGGGTGTTTTCGCACACATACCACACAATGTGCCGTCATATCGTATTATTTAAGTATTTGTTATACACATTGTCAAACAATTTGACATCCGATTTATATTCAATTGAAAATGCTTTTGCTGCCGCTGCAACTGCCTCAGTTATTAGTACTGCTCGCGACTTTGCTTTGGCTAGAGCTCACTAACTGTTTCTGTCATTGGGAGTCAAAAAAAAAAAAGTGCTTACGCTGGCAACACAACGATAATCAGAAATAAATTAAATGCTTTTGAGAGCGTAAACACTTTGACGCTTAACAAATGCACACTCGTACATATATAGTCGCGCACTAAATACTTAACAAATGAATGACTTATAAGCATTATTTATTTACAAACACAACTTTGTATGCACAGATACACACACACCGAAGTAAAAAGCTAAACATTTTGAATGGCATATTAAACACAATAAATACGTTAATGCAAGAGAGGTTCAAGGTTACTCATACGTTATGAGAAACCTTCAGAATCAAAGAAAAAGTAGAAAAGAATAAGTGGGAAGCAGGCAACCAAGCAAATAGGCTAGTAAATCTGCATTAAATATAAATAGGAAATTAACCTTTTAAATATGTGTATGTATAGTATATATGTATATATTTGTGTATATATCTGTCTCTCTGTGAATGATTTTTTAAAGTTACGGTTTTTGATTTTCTTGCTTTTGTTTTGTCGACACAAGCCCATGACCCACAGGTTTCAGCTTTCTTCCCTTTACGGCTACTTCAAAAGTAAAGCTAACTTGTCATAAAGTTACTTAATGTTGAAAA